CCCGCAAGACCGAGATAACGAGGGGTGAACAATCAATAACTCGGTGAATAGGCATTATATAACATACTAAGGGAGAGAAACAAACTAAGGACGATACTTTTAAATTCATCTCAAAATGCAATGCTTATTTTTTCAATATACATGCGTATCATAAAACACTTCATACATCATAAATCAAATGATTTAAGACCATTTCATATGAAATCATCAAAACACTTATCATACATATACCATATTCATCCGAAATCTCATATATAGGTTTTTGTACACTCGTAGGGTAATAAAATATCATTGGGCGTGAACACCCAAAGGTCACACCCCTCATCACTAGGTTTTCATATGTTGGCCAACACACGGGCTAGCACTCAACCTCTCCTATTAGTTGGAGCCTCATATCATTGAGCTCAAAGGCTACCCCTCCGTAGCTAGGTTCCCTATGATCTCAAAAACATATTCGAAAATTAAACATACTTATACATTTTTCAAACCGATATATTTAAGTACCATGCATGCATTTTTAGAAATTATACATATGATCAAAATAGTAGTTATAACTTATGCATGTCGAATTTGAAAACACATATCAAATCTCTTTTCAATTCACATCAAATTATTTTAATACAAAATCATTTCAAATATTATGAAGTTCGTTTTCATCTAAGTTCTAATTGAATGCTTCTAAATCATTCATAAATCAATTATACATGATGGATACTATCGAAGGATTTAAAACACAATACATTATATATTATGAGGTTTGATATGATAAAAATCTATAAAACAAAATATAATAATAATATTTAAAAATAAGAACAAACATGATAAAATTCAAGTTTTTCAAACTATATATATATATATATATATATATATATATATGTGTGTGTGTGTGTGTGTGTGTGTGTGTGTGTGTGTGTGTGTGTGTGTGTATGTGTGTGCGCATGTGTGTATATGTATGTGTATATGTATGTATATAAATGTATGTATGTATGTATGTATGTGTGTGTGTGTTTATATAGACATACACCTTATGCATCATTAGATTAAAAGTAAAAGATAAATTAGATACATATTTTTTAATAATCTAGATAATTTGCGTCTTTTGATAGAGCACTCATGCCGATAACGTGTTGAAAAATAATGATAATGGTAAAAGGTTGTTATGATAATAGTAATTGAATTGGAAGAAAAGATGATAGAAAAGTAATTTTACCATGAAATAAAATAAATACAAGTGATTACAACTTCAAAATAACTCTCTCTCTCAATTTCTATAAAAATACGTCAATCCAAACTAATGAACAATCAAGATTATTTATAGCCTTCAAGATTAACAAGAGAATTGAAAGGAGTTATGAACAATTAAAAATGCATAAATAATTGTATCAATTGCATCATCCTTTCAATTTATCATATGAAATGTAAATTGAATCATATTAAAAATTATGAGTAATAAAAATAAAAAAAAGATACGAACGTTTATGTGAATATTCATTATTTCATGATAAATTTATAATTGATGTGGTTTGCCACGTTTCATTCAATCTAGTGGACTTTTTAGTTTTTTATTTTTTATTTCTTTACTGAATATATCTTCGATTTACGATGAGCTCGCTTGGTTGCCTGAGGTAAAAAGGAAATGAGTTTATTTATTAAAAAAAAAAAAAAAGAAGAAAGAAGACTAAGTGGAAAGGAAAAGAAAAAAGCAAACGTAGAAAACAATTGAAAAGATTTGACGAAGAAAAGGGTGTATAAGTGAAGACAAACATATGCTTGAAGAAGTTAATTTGATGATTAGTTAACAAACTGTAGCCTTGTCTCTTTATATCAGTAGTACATGGGAGTAAATTATAAATTAGTCCCTTTAATTTTGAGAAACAGTTAATTAGTTTTAAAAATTAATTATTTAATCTTTTTATTATTTATATTATTTTTAATTTATTTTATTTTAAAATAAATAAATATTGTAAAAAAATTATGAATAAAGACGAGATTTTTTAAAATAAAATAATATATTAAATTAAGTGTGGTTAATATCAATTAAAAAGTTAAATAAGTTTTTTAAAATAAAATAGACTAATTAATTCGTTTTTCAAAACCAACGGAACTAATTTATATAATTTCCTCTACGATGCAGTGATAGTAACACACTGAGCACAAGTAAATTATAAATTAATCTTCCTAGTGATGAAAAATAAATAAATATTTTTTATTTAAAAAATTAATTATTTAGTTTTTATATTTTAAAATTTTCTTATAACTTAATTTTTTTTTCATTTTTTAATTTACTTGATTTTTTTTGTCTAAAGATTAAAAAAGAAAAATTTGATGAGAAAATATAACTTTTTTTGAAATAAAATAGTATTAAGTTAAACATGGTTAAGACTAATTAAAGAATTAAATAATTAATTTTTTGAAAAGAGGACTAATTGATTCATTTCTAAAAAATAGAAGGATTAGTTTATAATTTAATTGACCAGAACACGCATCATTAAAAAAAGAAAAAAAGATAGAGACACAGATATGATTTGATGGTTGTCACACTTAAAAGGGTCACGACTCACGGGTAATGCTTTTGCTGTCATCAATGTAATCACAGACGAGACAACATTTGAGAGAAAAATATTGAATGAAATCATATGGAGGAGCGTTTGCTTGTTACTTTTCTTTTTTCTTTTTTCTTAATTTTTATGATTAGACTATCCGTGAACTGTATTTATGCATCGAGACTAAATCTTTATTCAATCAATTTTTAAATCTAAATTGATATATTTATAAGAATTTTTTTCTTATCTTTTCATAAATATAAAATAAATGTGAATATAAAAAATAAAACTATGCTAAATCAAAATAAAAAATATAAACTAAAAGTATGTTTGATTAAACTACGATAACAGTTGTGAAATAATTTTTGCTTAACAATGTTAAAAGAAGAAAAATATTTGTTTAAAAATGCTATACAAATGAAGGTTATAAATAATAAAAGAAAAAGACTAGAAAAGCTTGAAAAAAATTTCAAATTAAGGTTCTTAATAGCTTTTCCGATCTTTGAATTTTTAAACATAAATTTTTTTTGTGAATTTCATAATCAATTTTTTTTTTAGGATACTGTTAAAATCGTTATTTTCTTTAATTTTTTTGTATAATTATTAATATACCCTTTATCAATTACCAATAATTATTATATAATAAATATTAATGAAAGATGTATTGGTAATTTTTTTAAAAAAATAAAAGATACAACAATTTAATGGATTAATTTAGCAGTTTTTTTTAAAAAAAGAAACCAAAATTGTCTAACCGTATACTCAATACCAAACGGTTCCTAAAATATTTTTGGCTTTGCCTTACACCTTACTTTTTTTGGAGCTGAGCAATTTATTTTCCAATCACGAGGACGGAGTCTTTAATTGACCCATGTAAATATATCCACCTATATCGGCAGGATTGGCTGATGCTGGCTCTGTCGGATGGACCGCATTGTTTTTCTTTCTAAAAAGTCCTTATACTTTCAGATTTTTATATTTGCCCTTTGTTTGTCCTTTTTGTTCTCTCAATTGGTTTCAAACAGATATAAATCAGCTGTTGAATTTAATAATTTGAGGAGAACAAGGTTAAAACAAGCACATATACTAATCTTTGTGAGATCTTAATGTGTATTGTTCTTTTTAATTTTAATTTTTAGTAAGACATTAAATCTAAAATTTCTTATTATGAAATTGTATTTCCATATTATAAAATATTAACTATTCGATATATGTTTATAATTCGATCAGAAAAATCCTAATCTCGAATTACAATATTTTAATTGGTATTTTTCATTAAAAAAAAACAAGCATAAAATAACAGATATAGTTTTTTATTGGGATTTCAAATAACTTTCTATAATTCAAGTTGATTATATTTCGCCTCTTTCTTGAAGAAAGAAGGTCAAGCAATTCTAAATCATGGTCCTTGCATATATATATATATATATATATATATATATATATATATATATATAATCCAAACATTTGATATCTTTTTCTTCAAATGAGATCTCAATTTTAATGACGGTTTTATTAAATATTTTATAATTAGAATTCTTTTTTTAATCAATTCTTTCATCATTGGAAATATCAGTTAGATTTAAACATGATATATTTTTTAATTACTAGAAGAATCTAAATATCCTCTTTTAGATCTAATAAAAGACTCTCAATTTTTTTTTCCAAAAAAACATGAGCAAAATAATCAATCTATTGTATTTACCACGGAAAAAAGAGAGATGCTCAATTGAATTGGTATATTATTGTTCTACACTACTTGTAAATTTGGTACATTTTAAAAGCAGTCGAACGCAAAACAGATAAGTTTATAGGGACCAAAAGGAAAAATAAGAAAACAATGTTTCTCCCTTCTAATTTATCGGTTCCACCGTCCATCTTAAAGCCGACACCTCAATGAAAATTAAGACAGCGAAAGACAAAGTCAGACAAAGACAAACAAACAAACAAGGAATGACTGCTAGCATGAGTAGTTTTGCTCACAAGGAATTACTTGTGTTTTTAGCCAATTGTTTTTATTGAAAATTCACTTCTTCTTCTTTTCTTTTCTTTTTCCCTATAATGTATTTCTCAGTATTTTTAAAACTATGTTTGAGCTGAGGTGATGTATTTTTTATTGATTTTGGATGGTTTTAATAGAAATATATCAAAACAATTTAAAAATATCTCAAATTAATTCTCAAAAAAAGAAAAAAATAATAATAAAATTCGAAATTAAAATAAATTGGATTCTTACAAAAGTAGATGCATTCCATTACCCTAATGTGCTCATGCCAGCACTAGTCGTTGCTAGTAAATAAACTGTGTTGCAGTGAGAGAGAAGGCTCAGTGATGACTTCTTGACTTTATTATTCAAGCATTCTGTCTCTTAAAGCCTTGAAACTGGTGTTTTCTTGTTCAAAAGTTTGTATCTTTTAGTGGCTTATCAGTAACTGTAGGAACTCTAGAGAGAGAGAGATGGAAAGTGGCAAGAAAGCAGAAGCAGGCCCATCATCAACAACAACAACAACAACGGGAGGTGGTTTTGATGAGAAACTAGAGAAGAAAAAGAAAACCTGTGAAAACCCACCTACTATAGCAGCTATTATTGACGATGATGAGGATGATGATGGTGATGTTGTTGATAATGGAGTTCCTGTTGCTGGATTTGTTCCTGGGCCTTTGCTATCTCTCAAGGAACAGATTGAGAAAGACAAGGTTTTTTTTTTCAATCTTTTCTTGATGTTTTATCTTAGTTCATATTAATTATCCTCTCTTTCGTTGCTTATGGAACGTTTGCAGTGATAAAGTTTTAAATTTTGCATACCGTACTCCTTAGTTTTGTAATTGGGAACTGGGAAAAACGAGATTTGCTACAGATTAGTTCATTATTTGAGTGGTCCAATGTGGGAGGTCAGCCAACATTGCATTGAACAATTTTCTTTGCATGTTTCTTTTCCCTAGTTAAATTCAACGCAAAGGAAAGGGACCATTATTCTTTAAATTTTGTATGTTAATGTTCCCAACTTTTCTCTGCTGCTATTGTCTTTAGATGGTGTTGTGATTCTTAGTTTTTTATTTTATCTCATGCGATTTGGTAATATTTCATTAAATTTAGCAGACTTCTGTTTCCCATAAATTTTTTATTGATGCCTTCTTTGTTTTTAGAACTATTCTTAGTTTTTTATTCAGTGTGATTTGATTTGGGTATACTTCATTTATTTAGCTTTACTTTTGTTTCCCATAAATTTTTTGTTTGATACCTTCCTTGTATCTAGAACCATGACTAATTGGCAATACTAAGTAATAGGGTTAGGCTAAAATATCTAGTGAAGTTAATGTGAATTAATCAAGTTGCAGTCGCAACGATGTTGAATCGAATGTTTTGTAGCCTGTTTATTGTTGTTTACATTTTCGGTTGTTCTTCATTCCACAAAATAAAATACAGCATGAGATCATTATAACCATGTGATGTCATGGCATGAAAATGCAAACCTGACTCAGTGGCTGCTGGATACATATGAACATAATTTTAAAAGCTAGTTATGCTTTGCAGGAAGATGATAGCTTAAGGAGGTGGAAAGAACAGCTACTGGGCTGCGTTGAAAGCGATTTGAATGGTTTGATTCAGGCATCCTTTTATTTGATATCCGAGCTTGTCCTATTTCACATCATCATGTATTTATATATCTGTTTTCTTAGGGCAACTGGAACCTGAAGTCAAATTCCACTCGATAGGAATTATATCCGATGACATTGGGGAAATAAACACTCCCCTGCCTGTTGCTGAAAGCCAGAGTGGTCGTCTCCTTTTTACTCTCCGGGAAGGATCTCGATATCAGCTTAAGCTAGCATTCAATGTTCTGCACAATATTGTTTCTGGTCTTATGTACTCAAATACAGTGTGGAAGGGGGAATACAAGGTGCATAATCATCTAGCCCTCTGCATCTAGAACTTTTTACTATATGCTTCTGAAGGGATGGATCGTCTGATCTAACTAATTAAACGTACATTTGTTATGAGTACAAAACGATCATGCTTTTCTTTCTTTCTTTTTTAGCAAATGAAAATGAAAATCAGATAGTATTTGAGTTTTATTTGGTTTCATATCAGAGTATGTTATGATAAAATACATGGACAATTTTGTTTCTTTTGGTTCTCATTTCTGATTGTATTGGAGGTTGGCTGGCCAAAACTGTAGTTGTAAATGCTAAGAGATTGATCATGACAATCTTATACTGCTTTCAATCTTTCAATATGTTAAGATCACATATTTTGCAATTGTGCTTCGCATCTCCGAGGTTAATTGAATGTTATACCATTGGTTTTCTGTCATTTGTGACTGTTATCCATTTCTTGAGTATCAGTCGATCAAAGCAAAGGGATGCTGGGTACTTTCGCTCCTCACCGGGAACCATATGTGTATACATTGGAGGAGGACACAACTCCATCTGGTGTGCTGGCAAGGGGAATTTATTCTGCCAAGCTTAAGGTAACCTTCTTAAAAGTGTTTGACATCATTTTGTGAGAGTTTCTTCTGGGTGCTACTTTTAAACTCTTTAAATTCCTGGTTGCTGTTTGATGCAGTTTGAAGATGACGACAGAAGGTGCCATATGGAGCTCAAATATTCCTTTGAGATTAAGAAGAGCCGCTAACCAAATTTTGCTGCAGGTTCTCATGTTTTCGTGTGTCTTTCCCCTTTTCTTTTTCTTTTTTCTTTTTTTTTTTGGGTCCTAGTGGGTGCACAGATGTTTACAAACCTTCTGAATTTTATCGAATTTAGGCGCAAGGAAATATAGTTTTTTCGTTTTTTCTTCAATAATGCTTCTGCTACTTCAAATCATAACTATTTACTTGTCCCCATTGACGCCGCCTGTGGGAGAAACATGATGAGTTCTAGTTGCTCTATCATTTGCCATTTTAAGAAGAATCACTCTTCATTTTACTGCTAACTGGTTAAAAAATACAAGAGATGAAAACTTCAAGATACCTCTCAATTCTAACCCAATTCATCATTACAAGCTGTCACAAGATTCCAGCACTTTTTCTTCGAGCAATACATCATCATTTGCCAGATCAACCATTCACTACAATATGCTTGGAAGTTCTTAGTACGGACAATCAATGCATCTGTCTCCTTGTTCGATTAACATTAAATCTACCAGGTGTGTATCAAGGATTCTCGGGCCCCATTGTTGAACTCCATGGTTCTCTGCACGGGATACGTTGAGTTGCATTCTACTCAAAATTCACACCTTGTTTAGCATCTGATGACCTGATCGATACATGAAGACCGGCATCTACTTTGTGTCATAGTTTCTCACTTACGAGAAGCTAAGATTAGCTACAGGTGGCTAGAGTCAGGAAACATTGTTTAGACAAAACACGAGATGCCGATTTGAATGCAACAGAGATGAAGATTGCTAGCAGTTTTGAAACTTCTCACTGGTCTACTGGTGTAAGATGCACAGCAGAACAGCACAAATTCCGGCTTCTGAAAAAATGGAGCGATCCAATTGCATCATGTACAAATCAATTCCAGCAAGGAAAGATGTGGGAGCATGGGACTGACTGGCATCCACCTCCAGCAACTGAGGGAACAAAGAAGACAGATTATTTAAAAGCACAGATAAAGAATTTTTTTTCTTCGGGTAATGGAGTCAGAAAATTGTATGCAGCGAGTGACAAAGGGAACCAAAGATGGCAAACCAGAGGGTAATGGATTGAGATAAGTAATGCTGACATAAAGGGAACAATTAGATATTGCATCACTGAAGGTTTCTGTTTTATTCCCTGCGAAAAGTTTATCTTGTATTCTATGGAAATGCCCAGAGTGAAATCTCATTATGAGATTTTGAAATTAAAACTTCATGGGATTACTTCCTTTTTGCCCTGTGGTGTTCTGTAACTTCACATCACAGTAAACTGTGAACTGAACTCTTAAGGGCACATTTAAATTTAGTTATAGTTCCCCTGTTGAACAATGCCAAAATGTTTACATATTCATATGAAGATCTAAAGCAGAAGTTTTATGTGCTTTTCTAATTCTACCACTGCTCAAATTTCTGATTCAAACTCATTTACTGGAGGATACAAAATCAGGTACCTTCTATTCTATAGGTAATTCAAGAGTGCATCAGCTGAAGAATTCTTCAACCTACAGCTCTGTCCCAAGTGAACATCCCCAAAAAGATACCTGCTCTCACCATTAATCAAATAGAAAATAAGGAAGGTTTTTAAAAATAAAAATAGATCAGAATAGTTGTCGAAACCAAAATTTGATAGAGAATGGAAAAAAACCTATATTCACAGTACTCAGGCCATGCACATCGAGCTTTCCCATAATCCCAATAACAATCTTCATCTCTTAAAGGCCCGCGCTTAGCTGTTATAAAAATACATCAGCAAACATATTCAACATAAGCCTTGAAAAAAGAGAGAACATAAAAGTCAAGATTCACCTTTTGTAACAAATTTTGATTTTGCATTGGGATGGATATCGTGCCACATCTGAAGCCACAACTCTCTCATTAGAGCTGGAACTCTAACAATGTTCCTGTGATTTGCTACATGGAGATGGCTTCAATTAAATTTGGTCTGTAAGAAACTAATTCTTTATGATGCTCTAATTATTCAAGATAAATAATAATTTCAGCGGATGAAGCCAATCCAAATTTGCAGCCTAAAGATCAACTTTTCAGAAAATAAATTTGCAAAAGTGGGAAAATTCACTCTCTTACTGTTGCATCTCTTAAATACCTCTTCATTATGAGACTTCCAGGATTTTTTTAAAAGTATGATTCCAGTAAAAAAGTAAAATAAAGAAAGTAATTCCAAGTAATCATGAAGCTTCTAAACCAAATGATCCTCAATATAAATATTTTCAATTTTTTAAAAGTTTGTAGGCCTAAAATATTTCTCAAATTGAATTACTTTCAAAATTCCCAAATCACTTCAAATCTAGCCAGAATACATAATCTACTTGAAAATCATAGTAAGTAGATAGAAACCATCCACTAGATTTGATCAGCAATCACATCATTTGAAAAGCCCATGATCCTTAGCTATATTAGATTGGCTCCAGTCATGTACATTAGTAATTTGGAGTACAAGTTCTTTAGTAACTGTACTTTTCAGTCATATGTACTACAGAGAGTGTCACGCACCTTTATCGAGCTCCCAAACTGCTGTCCTTTTTCCCGGAATACTCTCAGAATCTTCATAATAGGTAATGTACTTTACTCTTGGAGACCTTGTCATGTTAGGAACTATATCTACTTCATGCTGATGTTCTACATTCAAATCCACTTGTACATCAGATCCATCATGGTCTGACTGCAATTTACAGGAAAACAACCAGGCAAGCCAAATTCTCAAGGAAAAGTTCATTTCACTGGTAAGGAAACATATCAAACCGTAACTAGCAATTTAAAGGTATGTAGAGGCATGAATCAATCGATGCTTATCCATCTTAAGTCAAGCCATCATTCTACACAAATACTATACTTAAAACAACCCAAATTCTAAATTAACTTCGAAGATAGCTTGTAGCAATAAAAGAGTACAAGGCACAAATATACCAGTGGTTGCAAAATTGCTGCAATTTTTATTGTTTCTGAATCAAGCATCAAACTATAGTAGCTTGTTTCTGTTTGGATTCAAGTGTTTCCTTATTGCATGAACTACCACACACAAACACACACCATTTTACCACATTAAGTTCAAGTACCTGAGGAGCCCTTGTTATGTTCACTTTTGGTCCAAGCCAATTCTTACACAAAGAGAGAGAATTGTATGGTACCTGTATCAGATATGCTATATTATATGAAATTAAGAGTGGTAAATTATAAATTGAAGCACTTCAGCTTGGAAGTCTGAATATGCTGTATGATTGTAAAAATCAATTGGCTGTCTAATTTCATACCGTCTCATCCCCACTTGCGGCTCCAGGATTACCTTCAACCAAATTCCCTGACCTACAACAAGAGTACATCATCATGTGTTACAGCTCCAAAAAAGGGGAAAGTCAGAAGCATTTCACAATAACCATGTGCACCACATTAGTATCCATATATTTTACAATCATCATACTGCCCCAAAAAAACACAGATAGGCATGTGCAAATGCATACAGTTTTGACTAGACTGACTAGCCCACCACTTGAGCTTTTTATTTTTTAATTTAAAGCACACAGATGGCACTGTGTGGATGGATCGATAATCTTAACAATGAACATGACACTACATATTCATTGAAAACTACCCAACAACACATCTATCATATACAAACACACATAATAGAAACATTGGGGATGGCAGTTACCTTGAGTACAGAGATCCTTCAAGCTCATAAATGACATCTGTTGTGATCCAATTATCAGGGTAAGGCTTGCCACTCGGTGCAAAATAGTAACCGACCTGTTTTCCATTTCCAAGACATCAAAACCATCATCCTCTAGTCGTTAAAAGCAGCCATCTTAGGGTGAAAATAACCTAATCAGCTATCCCAGAAACGGATAAGGAATATCCTTAATAAAAGATGGCGAGAAATTAACTGATTATCACAGTTAAGACTGACAGAGAACTACACGTGCAATAAAGAATATGTGACTCTTTCAGCTTGAGAAAGAGAAGAAACCAGTTGGATAAATGCTTTAGGATTACGAATATAAATACAATATTAAATTTACTGTAACATTTTCCATACATAGAAAGATAATAACCATCATACAAATAACAACGATTCATACTCCTCAATGGCACAAAAGGTCATAACCAAAATAGCAGTAGAAACAAAGGGACTACCCTTAAATCTAAAAGACACAATTAGGAAGGAAAAAAAAAAAAAAAGAACTTCATTGGAGAAAGCAATTATATTGTCCTTCTCAGGTGCATTTGTGACAAGTAACAGAGATTTCATTTACTCTGAGAAGATAATTATACCTCAGTCCTTAAATCTACTCCATAGATGCAGAAAACATTTTTTATTGGTGGTCTGTCCCACGGTGTAAGTGGATTCAAAACAGGATCATCATGATATAACCTGAAAAATACATCCTTTCACATTAGATGTGCACATCATGTCAGATAAGATATGTTTTTCTACGTGCATAATTCACAGTTAACAGTTCATTAGAAAGCAGGCGACATGAATAGGAGTGCATGAATATTATAATAACACAAAAAATTCACAATAATTGATAATGAAAAATAGGATTGATCATGAAGACCAATTAGGTTTGCTATAATAAGCATATAAATGTTACACTGCAAGGGGAATTTTAGCATTTTACTTGGAAAAGCTGTCGATGCAGGCATAAAACAGCTAAATTCGGTATCAACATTTGTTAAGAAGATGCCTACTTCTTTAATTGGTATAAGAGCCTCTTGCTATCTGGATCATAATCTTCTATTGCGTTGAAAAGGGTCCCATCTGATATTTCACGAGCTGAAAAAGATAACTGAGTAGGAAGCCCGCATTCCATGCTAGACAAGTTGGTTTGAGCTAATTCGGTAACTGACGGATAGGCATCAAAGCCTGTAAATTTAATTTGCATGAAGCATGTGAGCAAAATAATAATAATCTCATCGCGAGATGAAAATCTAAACTCTTACCACGGATAGAAGGAATTTCAATGTTGACTACATTTGTTGGCCATCCAGAATAGTTTAAACGAAATTCCTGCTCCTCACATTGATATGTGTGATGACCTTTCCTGAATCCCCCAGCAAAATGCCTAAAGTAAGAATTATCGGCTCTACAATACTTAGAAAATGGCATCATCCATAACGAAGAACCAAAAGAATTGAACATCAATCGAGATGTTCCCTGGTACCTTGCCAAAATACGTGACAAGCATGTGTTAGAATAGGTATCAGGATCCAACAACGCAAGATAATATGATAGATGTCTAAAAGCTTCTGACAAGCTGGGGAAAGTCACAGCTGTCAAATTTTACTTGGGTGAGTCATAACAGATAATTATATAACTCATAAACAAGCACTGCTTATTTAATACAAATCATGGAAAGTTTAAGGTATGTTTTGAAATGCATACTATTACTGATTTAAGTAACTGGAGTAACTGGAATTAACTTAAAAAGGTGGAAATGACCACTTTATACCAAGAAAGATGACTGAAAACATGAAGATAAATTAATTAACAAACAAAAGTGTCAACTAAAGAACATTTCAAATAATGAATGGGTAACCTCAGAAACTGGAAGACCAAATGTGTTCCCAAAAAATGTCCCTTTGACCGTCTCAATTGCACCAAGAAGTGGGGCTCCTGGAATCAAGCAACAAAGTAAAGACAAATGAATGCAACTTAACCTATTCAAAGACACCACCATTTAGGCAAGCGGATTTGAAGCAAATAAATCATACCGACTGCAAAATAGGCATGAATGTGTTCGTCCAGCCATTGGTTATAATGTTTAGGTGCAATTTCCAGTTTTAACCATTCCAGAAAGTAACGGAAGACATTGTTACCCAGAGAATGGGCAAATACTAGTGAGGGTCCACCTCGAAGTTTAAGGGCAGTTTCAAACGTGAGCCTGCAAATAAGAATGAAAACAAAGTCTAAGGTCACTTGGATCGATCGCAAGATGAACTTCATTCTCACGCTTCACTTTTAGGATGGAAGTATTCAGAAATTTAGCTCTTTTCAAAGCCCTTAGCATTTATTTAGTTGTCCAACAACTACACATCCTGAGAAATTTGTGTTAATCACTTCCAAATAATTTCAGGAACCTGGGGTTCAAATTAAGTAGTGATATTAAGAAAAATCTTTCCCACATTTCCAAGATCTTGATTCTCAGTTCATTTTTAGTGGACTGACGCTGCTTATTTGTGAAGCTCTAAACTCATATAAATTGCAAAGAAGAAAACATTGTCAAACTGAGGCCGTCATACAATGTGATGACAATTAGTTTCAGCATGGCCAAAGATGCATCCAAAGTTCATATTACATTAAACAAGTGAACTATCAGAAATGATTATTATGGCAGTTAAAGTATTAACGTTAGTATGCCATTAAAAGATGTACAAACTTGAGCCTGTGAAAATAAAGGTCTCGCTCCTCAAGCATTGACGGTGACAATCTCCAATCATATGGCACGGCAATGATTGCATTAGCCTCAATGCCAAACTCTATGCACCACTTAACCCATTCTTTCCACACTGAAGAAAGAGGACCTGAAGATCATAGTCCAATAAACTCATCAATATATTTGTTCTTTTTGCACTTTTTATCAAAGGCAAACGTAAATAGTAAAAGCCATCAAATTAAAAAAATGAATTAAAATGTAAGAAAAAAAATAGAAAAAAAAACCTGTGATATAACCGGGATCAAGTTCTGTAATAGCAGAAAGACCACTATCAGGACGCGATTTGCATTCAGGATGGTCTGTTTGATTGTACGGGTCAAGTAACATGCACTTAAGCCAACAGTTCACTGCAGAAAGTAGCTGCATAATGCATTACAAATCAACACCAGCTCCTTCACTAATAGTCAATAATATCGGCCACTAGCCGCTAAAATATGCAGGGAAAAAAACCTAATATTTGTCAAGGAAGGCCAAAGAGTTCGGAATAAATTCCTGATTTAATCACAAGAAGAGAATATTCATTATTTCATAAAATCTCCCACGTTCCACTGAAAAATCTTACTCGTTATATTCTTTGCTAGACCTAAATTTTAAAGGAAACCAAACAGAACTTTATCTAACAATTTCTATAGCTAAAACAAAAATAAATAAGAGAGTATGATTTGTTAGTTACTTACTTTGGTACTGTCAAGCCAGACCAAGTCGAGAGGGTTAAAATCGAGAGGAGAGTACGGACAATCAAGGAAAGACCAGGCTCTAAGCTGAGTCGATGCGAATCCTGGAATTATAATCCCTGATAACTTGGAGTAGTCTCCGCGGAACTCTTCGCCGTCACCGGAGGTGCTATGCAGCGCTCCGTGTATAAGTAGCACCACCAAAATGGTGGCAATATGGAGGTTTACTCTCATCTTTCATCTCACTCTTTCTAGAGAAGAGAGATTTTTTTCAGGTGTTTTGATTGACTGGTTTGTTGGATGGAAACGGAGGGATCCATCAGTATTCTGTTGTCTTTGTTGGGAGTTGAATATTCACATGTTTGCTGATTGTTTGAGTAAACTATAAATTAGTCCCTTTAGTTTTAAAAAAAGAATTAATTAGTCTTTATAATTTCAAAAATTAATTATTCAATTTTTTAACTAGCATTGATAATTTTAACTTAATATTAATTTATTCTAAAAATTTTATTTTCTCATCAATATTTTTATATATCTATTAATTTTTTATTTGTTTTTTTACAAAAAGAATAGAAAAGGGTATAAAATTAAAAAAAATAACTAAATAATTAATTTATGAAAAAGAGAGACTAATTAATTATTTTTTCAAAACTAGAGAGACTAATTTATAATTGACTCCTGATTGTTTTGACCTAACCACTAGACAACACATCACTCCATCGATTTCTCACGCAGGCGTCTTTGTATTTATAACGACGTCGTTTGGAGTGACAGATGGCCTATAATTTGAAAACTTTTTTTAGGATTATTAACTTGATTATTTTAATCGTAATATTATTAGGCAACGAGCGAGGAGAGAAATTCCATGGGATGAAAAAGAAAAAGTGAAACGTAGCTAAGAAAAGAAAATTCTTGAATTATAAAATATTAAATCATTGAACATAGCTAATAAAAGCGAATTCTAAGATTATAAGAGATTGAATTATTATATCCAAGGAAGACCAATTGACGAGAAACTTGTAAAACTTTTAGACTATTTTTCATTTAATATCCTTACAAAGGGAAAAAATTAAAAAATACAAACAATCTCTCAAAACAACTTATATTTTCTTTTAGAATGGTACAAGACTCGTTCCAATGGTGTCTTATTCCCTTTCAGAACAATTTCAAACTTTGAAGATAGAAACGCACACAAGAACATGAACGAAGATTCATCACACAATTTGTCATGCTTATATCATTTATTATGCAATTTCTTGTTGCTCTCTGATCTCATTCATTATGCAATTTCCGATTGAAAAATACCAACTACATTTGAATTCATAGACTCCTTTCTATGACAGGTATATTTGACTTTTTTTTATTAAAAAAAAAAACAAACAAACAAAGAAGTACTAGTGGAGAATGGAAATTAGTTCAATATTAGTTTTTTTTCTATGCAATTAAGACAAAATATGTAAAATTATTTTAAATTTATAGTATGTATTATATTATGGATCAACTAAAATATATCAAATTAAAACTATTTTTTAATCTTGTGTTTAACTAATTATTCATTATGTTTTTAATAATTGTTTTGCTAAAAAGGAACACAATCTATTCTTCTATATTCGGATTCTTAATTAAAAACTTTTCTTATATTTTTTTTTCAAAAAAATTTAAGAAAAATTATCTAAAAAATACTTTTAATCTTTAGATTAAATCTATATATTGTAAACCATTTTTTTAAGTAATATATATATCACAAGGGATGAAATTACAATATAAATAAATGTTTGGATCGAAATAAAATTTATTAAAAAAATGATGAACTAAAAAATAACATGAGCAAAACTTTAAGCATAAAATCCTTGAAAAAAACCTCAAAATTACTATTAAAAAAAAAATTCAATGCACCCTTAAAAGAAGGTGAATAGGGTTATGAACAAAATAAATGCCTAAAAAATGCATAAAATAACAAAAATGCCACTATCTTAAAATTACAAAAATGTCATCAAGTGAATAGTGCTACGTGAATGCATAAATACTACGGGAATAGTGAAAACCCCATTCCTTTTAGGGTTTTTATAATAATATAAAATATGTTTTTTAGATTTATTATCCTTATTGTCACATAGTAACCTCTCAACGATTGTAAAAAAAGGAAAAATATATATATGTGTGGAATCGCCGCTCGGTTTTTAAAAAGTGAAAACTAAAAGAAAAAAAAAAACTAGTACCGATCTTAAGAGTTTTAACTATGGGGGTTGATTACACAGTTGGGGAAGACTACAAGCACCCTAGTTTGTCTTCGCAATGAGGTGACATTCTATCTTAGGGAAATTCATTTCCGCAAATTATCTTTTTATCTTGATTTACGTATTCAATTATTTAGATATTTTCTAATTAGTCATAAGAAAGGTGATTTGAAGACTCAAACAAGACTCGGTCTCGTACCTCATATGTCATTGGGTTGTTGGAACCCTTTTGGGAAGGAAAAAGTTAGGACTTAAAGCTTATTGCAATTTAAATTATCCAAACCCCGTAAAAAATAAAATAAAATAAACATGGATCGTAGGCTCAAATTCATCCGTCAAACCATGAAATAAAAAATAATTACAAGTTCGTAATAACAATAAAAAAATGGACATGGGCCTCGAGCCCATATCACCATGTCACGCTACTATAAAATATTAAATTAGGTCCAAGGTCAAATTAAAAGCTAAATCTGTAATAAGAAGAAATTAGTAGCACCATATATATATAAACAATAGCAATAAAAATAAAATAAATAACAAGGAAAAGACCATTCATCGGAACAAAGTCGATCTCAAGTCCTAAATCTACTCCATCTAGATTGACTTAGAAGGACACCACATGAAATAAACACACAGAATGCAAGACATAAAATTAAACGTGTAAAAAAAATTAAGACAACACCATGAACAAAAAATAACAAATTGGCCTCCACAAGGTCCTTGGCTTATTAATTTTGATTTAGCTTATTTTAATTTTCTAAAAAATTGCTAACATATTGTCGACTTTATTATTGACCGACGAGTTCCTTAAAGGCTTTTTATATGAAAAAAAAATAAAATGCAATATATCAAACCCTTAAACCCTTATTTTTTGAAATAATAATAACAATAAATATACATTAAAAATAAAAATAACATAAATTCTAAAATAATTCTAAATATTCTCTCGCTTTAATAAAATCTCACATACACATAAAAAAAAATTGAATTGGAATATTTTTAAATCATCAAATAACATCAATAACTTTCTATTCAAATCTTTTCAATTAAGCCCAATTAAAAAATTTTAATTCAATTAATCATCCCAATCATAGGTTAAATACATAATTGATATTACATAAATATAAATCAACAATATAATCATGCAATCCACAAAAATTCGAATGAAAATTAAACAAAAAAATGTTGAAGCGTAGGTTATAATTATAAAATCAAAAGTTCGAGGATTGAATTAGACATGAACAAAAAAAGATATAGCCACTGGTGTATATGGCAAATGCTCTATGCATTATCCGAGACGATTACGCGTATGAAGGGACATCAATTGTTGGATAGGTATTGGATCGATGTCGTTGGCTTCTTCTCTTCCTTCTAGCCATGACGATAAGAGGTGTGTTTGATTCCAATGAATGGAGGAGCGAGTGGCGTTGTGAACTTTGGTTGTTGTCTTTGACTTTTTTCTTTGGGCTACTAGGTTTTTTTTTCAAGTCTGGTAGTGTGTGTTCTCCCTTTTTGTTTGTGTATGCATAGTATTTATATGGATGCTTTTAGGATTAACCTAGGATTTATTTTCTATTTTGATTTTATCTCTTTTATTATTAATTAGGCCTAACCCAATGCATCTAGGCCCATTCCTCCTTTTTTTTTTTCTTTTTCAACCCTAATCTAGGCCCGATTCCTTCTTTTTTATTTTTTTCTTTTATTTTTTTATTTTTTAATTATTTTTTATGGGGTAAAAATAGAATGATAATAGTTGCCCTCTCTTTACAATGCTTCGATGTCAAAGATGTAAAAAGACAAGTCTTCGAATATCTTGATTAAGTAAGCTAGTGAAAAAGAGATGTGATACAAAAATGACAAACTCGGAGAAACGAACGACTTAAAGGTGATTCAACTTTGGAAATGAAGTAAATATACCAACCGTCTTGAGGTGATTTGATTTTTTTTTAAAGTAATCAACTATATGAACTCTCTCGGAGTAAAGACATCAAATGTATGATCCCTCTTGGGAAGATTTGACTTTAAAAAAATCAATCAAATATACAAACCTTCTCGAAGGTGATTTGATTTTGAAAAAGAAAATCAATTAAATTTATGAACTCTCTTGGAGTGATTTGATTTTAAAAAAGAGATCCATCAAATATACGAATCCTCGTGGGGTGAAGAAATCTATCAAATATAAAAACCTTCATAGGATGAAGAAATATATGAATCTTCTTGGGATATTGAAATTTCATCAAATATATGAACCCTCGTAGAGTGAAGCAACTCTATCAAATATATGAACTCTCATAGGATGAAGAAATACATGAATCCTCTTAGGATGTTAGACGATCTTCTTAAGAGGAAGATTGGTCATCTTGACAAGGTGATTATTTAGATATTTTTAAAAAACTAATCATCTCAACGGGGTAACTATAACGCCTCCGCCCGAGTCATATTTCTACTACCCAAGTAAGGTGTCGCACGAAGCGCGTTACGCTAACATACCCTAAACTCTAAGTAGTTTTCTTATGATATTCTTAGAACTTTAACGAGTACATTACGTATATAACTCCTTAAGATAAAATTTATATAACATAATTAAATACATTAATAAAACATTACAAGCAATATTCAATTTCTCACGAACTTCATACCCTAAATTTACGGACAAAATAAAAACTAATATATGGTGCCTCACATGAGCCGGTTAGGAGGAGGTAGCCACATCCGTACCAACTTGTCCTTTTTACGTCAAGATAAAAAAAATAACAACGAGGGTGAGCCGAAGCTCGGTAAGCGAGTGATGCACGTGATATGCAATGTTGTTTTGACTTCCCACCGTACTCATAAATTTTAATCTCGGGTACCACAGGTATTAGCCAATCTACTTTATTTATCATCCGGGTGGTCCACGGATCACCTTCTACTACAACGAATTATATCTCGTTGTAACTATTGTTAGCGGGAATCCATCGTCTAACGAGTGCAAGCACACGACTTGATTTCATCCAG